GGCTGAGCCCTGTGACCACTGGGTGGTGTCACAGGGACATGATGGGTGATGAACACTGGAGGAACAGCTGAGAAGCAAGACCCTTAACGGTGGGGCAGCTGAGTCACTGCACAACCTACATTTTTTTCCCCTTTTTTTTTTGTTTGTTTGCTCTCCTGGGTAGTATTTTTATCAAAAAACACTTGTGTAACCCAACCAGTTTAAATGCCAAAGGTAACGGGACCGTGAAGTCTGACACTGCATTGCTTTTGGTGGAACCTTTTGATTTCCTGAGATGTGTTCTGGCTTTGGTGGAGAGAACAGTGCCCAGCCATCTTAAAAAGAAGGTGAAATAGAATACTGAGGTGCATGAAGTCTAGTGGTCATGACTAGCCTCTGCTATTCCTTGATATAGTAGTGTGGCTAGGTAAAGATTCATTGGGTGGGGTTTTTTTGTTTGCTTTTAACCCCAAATGAGACATTGAGACCATATAAGGTTGGGAGAACATCTGCATCAGTCTCCTGTGTACCAGAGGTCATAGAATTTGTCCTAGCTGTTCTCCACAACAGCCAAGAAAGGTGTTTTGATCTGGTGTCAGTCATTTTATAGCCCTCATTGACAAGGAGGTTTTTTTAAAAAGTGGAACTGAATGGCCTGTGACATTCCACCAATCGTCACCAGGGGATGTCATCTCCTAAATACAGGAAGGCAACTGCAGGTGAAGCTTTTAATGATACCTAAAGCAGTAGTAAAAGAAATCAATTTCCAGCAGCTGTTTGGTAACTCTCAGCGTAGAGACCTGAGGAGCTTGAGATCTGTGAGACAAGGGGAGTAAAATATCCCACGAACTGTGAAACTTCACTCCTATCTGTTTGTAGTTTTTCTGTGACTTGTGGATCTTCAGGGAGTGATTGCTGGGCAGTGCTGTTCCATCCTGGACCGCTACTGCAGGTGCTCTTTACCAGGATGTTGTTAAGGGGGATGGCCAGAGCTGTCACTGGGGCAAGGGGAGGGCAGAGCAAAGTCCAGCTCTGCTTGTCTGCTTTATGAAAAATATGTCAAAACTTCACCACCAAAAATAGTAGCTTCTCTGTGCCTCTTTGTAAATCTCTGAAGAAACTATTCTGAACTGAAATGCATTCTCCCTGAGGGGCTTTTTTCAGCACTGAGCTAAATTATTTTTTTAATGGGGGGCTTATTCCTCCAGGGAAGCCTTAAATATGCCAGTAGCTGAGCTGTACTGGGTTATATATTCCCGATTCTCCTATTAAGGGAATTGAGTAAAGAAAAGAGGAGGCCGTACTCCCCAGTAAAAGTTCTAGCAGCTGTTTTCTTGCAATCTAAGTGATAGGGTATATAGCGCTTGGCCATATCTAAGCTCATGAGAATTTAATGCCTCAGTGGTTGAATCCAGTCACTTTTGTTTTTTGGATCATGACTGGTGTTGACATTTTAAGTGTCTCTTGATTATTGCTTCTAAGGTGGAAAGACAATAAATGAATCTATTGTATCTTGGGGAAGGAGGGAATAAGCAGACACAGAATAATTTACATTGGAAGGGAGCTCGAGAAGTTATCTGGTCTATCCCCTTCTCAAAGCAGAACCCCAAGATAGAGGAAGCTGTAAAGCCAAGTGTTGAGAATCAGGGATGCAGAGTGAGCCCTGGTGGGCTCCCACTCCAAGGCTTAACTGTTCTTGTAGAGAAGTTGTTTTTTCCTTACATCTAAGTGAACAAATCTTTTTCTGCAAAGCTGCTTTCTAGCCAGTTGGTCCCCAGCTGTGCTTCAGTAAGGAGTTGTCTGTCCTGGGTCCATCGTATCTTTGAACTTCTTAGGGTTCCTGTCATCCAGCCTCTCTGTTGTGCTGAAGATTCTCTGAATACTTAGTTTTCCCTCCAAACAAAGCATTAGACTTTTCCCCCAACTCAGTTTCACCTGAAAACTGGCTGAGGGTGCTTCTCATCATGTTTATGTCACTGACAAAGAAGTTAAAAAGAATTGGCTTGTGATCAACTATGAACCTTCAGCCACAATTTCTTGAGCCTGATGGTCCAGGCATTTTGTAAGTTACCTTATAAGTGCACTTGTCTAGTTGGTGTCTTCCAAGTTAGACTGTAAGCATGTTATGGGAGACTGTGTTAAAGACTTGCTGAAGTAAAAGAAAAAAAATCTTTTTCCTGAAGCCATTAGTTCATCCTACATGGCAATCAGGTTGGTCAGTTGTTATTTGCTCCTGCTAAATCTGTGGTAACTGTTCCCAGTCACCTTTTTGTCATTCATAAGCTGGCAATGTTTTCCACAAGGACTTGCTTTGATCTTCTCTTGGACTGAACTTCGTCTGGCAGACTATTGGTCCTTGGGTTTTCCTGCTTTCCTGTTTCAAAGATGAGTGTAACTTTTGCCTTCTCCAGTCAACATGACCTGTCAAAAGTGAGAGGGGGAAGGCCTTACAGTCATCTTGACCTGTGCCTTCTGCATGTTCAGATGAATCCTGTTTTGTCCTGTCTACTTACATGGGTCTAATCTGGATAAGGAGTCCTTAACTCAGTCACCTTTTACTGATGAGAAGCAGTTTGAAAAAGACAAATACTAAGCAGAGACACATGGGGTGTGTGAGAGCAGACCTTGTCAGTAGAAGACTGAGGCAAGGAAGATACCAATACTAGTTTCCTTGCCTGCATTGCAAAGTCTCCTGCTTTGTTTAGCAGTGGATCCGCATTCTCCTTGCTCCCTTTTGCTGCTGATGTCTCTGCAGGAGCTGTCTGTTGCACTTCCCATTATTTTCTTTTTGTAGTGTTTAATAATGCCTTCCTGTTTGGATTACAAAACATGGACATGACTTAGTGGGGACTTGGCAGTGTTAGGGTAGCAGTTGGACTTGATGATCGTAAAGGTCTTTTCCAACCACAATGATTCTGTGGAGGTCCTCAGTGTATGCACTGTGTGTATTTCTTTGTACCTTACACATACATGCCATGGTGATCAGCTTTAGCTGCCTTATCTGCAACTTCAGGTTGCTTATGTCTGTATATCAGGACAATAAAGGACAAATGCTTTAATACATTTTAATGACATTTTGAGCCCCCTGCTGCAATCAGTTTATCAGGTTTATACATGTACTTTTTCTGGCATAAAATCCTACTTGAATAAAAGGGACTTCAGTGGACAAAGCAAGGGTTTGCAAGATCCATCCCTTGCTAATATCAGAAGCTATGCCTTGTTTTGAACAAGACTGGATTTACTTTGATTTGTATATTAGTGCAGGTTTCATTGAGCAGCATATTTAATGTATCTCATTGAATTTGCCTGTAATATGGCTGAAACAAAGTCACTGCTCTAATAATTTGTTTTACCATTAAAATTCTGTGTGCATATCTCATCCCCTAGGATATCAGTGTATAACCAGATACGCCATGATCTAATCAGATTCTGCAAGGAATATGATATCTCTTCAACTCTTGCAGGGTAAAGCTTCATCAAAATAGAAAATGTATCTAATATTTAAAGTAAAAGGCAGTTCAAAGAGAATATCATGGAAAAAAGCATTGTTAAGCATTTTTAAGACATTTCTCAGATTAAACAAAGCAAAGTCCAAGCTAGAATGTAAGATGATTTGTCACTACTCCATTTGCTGTTAAAGAAGAAAATGGTATAGCTGTCACTTCAATTTATAGGGTTTGTTCCAGTTCACTAAAATAGCATCACCATCAGAAATGACTGACTAGCAGGATTTCATTAATGTGATACTTCCTTGCCACAGCATAGGTGCTTTGGAAAGTAATTTTGAAAAGCACCTACAAAAGCATCAGTAGCAGGCAAGACTCATGTTGTGAACTCATTTTGATGATAGGATTTGGATCTCTGAGGGCCCAGTGCTACAGTCCATCAGAAATACAAGTCCTGCTGACCGTGGAGGAGTCTTGCAGGCATTGTGCTGTAGCTTGCTGTGATGAATCTGGCCAGAAGCATCCCCTCTGGCTGGGACAGTGGAAGTGTGGCTCTGCCTGCAGCCAGAGTGTATGCATTTCTGTGTAAACTGCCAGATTTCACCACCAGGTACTCAGAAGGCTAGTGGTAGAAAAGGGTAGTCCTCATCCCTCCATAAAGCAAGATGAGTAAGTTGAGTCCCCTACGGATGAATGATCTTGTATTTGCAGATACCCTTAGCTTTATCAGCTGCTTTTGTGTAAATGTCTAAGTGCTGAGCAAGATAAGATGGTGAGTTTTATTTTGTGGTTGCTTTTATTTTAATGGGCATATGTGGAGACAGAATTTTGCATAGTAAAGTGACTTACATATTTGAGTTCAACTTTGTTAAGTTGTAGAAAATGATAACTTGTACATAGGCATGTTAAGTCAAATGTCTCTTGTGAAGAGCATGCAGTGGAGTTTATGCATTTTATCTGTGGAATCTAATACTATCCTTGTCTCTATCTGTTGTACTTAGGTAGCAAAGGAAAACAAGGACTTTTAGAGGTAAATTTGAGAAGAAAAACAGCATTCAGTAACCTTGTTGATGACCAGATGCGACTTGAAATAAAAAAAAGTTCAGAAGAGTTATATGTCCTTGGTATTTTCCAACTCATTTTAGCTGGCTGTAAAAGTGTGTGTGGTATGTTGGTTAGGTTTGGTTTTTTCCTCAGTTCTGTGAACTAGATGGTGCATAGTTCAGTGTGTGAGGCCAGATTCTCCTTGTTGGCTTTAGGGTTTTATTATCTGACTTGCTTTGCTGGAGTTACACCAGGATTGCTTTAAGAGACAGAGTCCACAGGCACCAGTGGAGCTAGAAGTGAGGGAGAGCCCAGACAAGCAGTGAAACAGGCACTACCTTTCAAGTTCCTGGGAGTTGCTGGTAGGGTAAATGCTGCCAGACAAATGTAGTGTGTTGAGAAAAAGGGCAAGTGAGGAGTCTGTTGGTGAGTGGTGGTACAGGTCAGAAAACTTATGCTTATTACAGAAGAATCACTGATGACTTAATATTTGAATACAATATTGAAAATTTTTCTCTGTTGTGTTTTTAGGGTCTCATGACTCATTTAGCTTCTATATTGATGAAGCCTCTCCAGTCGGGCCTGAACAGCCAGAGACCGTCCAGAACTTTGTGTCTGTGTTTGGGACTGTGGCTAAAAAGCTGATGAGGAAGTGGTTGGCTACCCAGACCATGAACTTCACCAGCCAGCTGGGGGCAGGTATACGGTATTTTGATCTTAGAATTTCCACCAAGCCCAGAGACCCAGACAACGAACTCTACTTTGCTCATGGTTTATTCAGTGCCAAAGTCAAGGAGGGTCTGGAAGAGATCAACGCGTTTCTCACTGACCACCCAAAAGAAGTGATCTTCTTGGACTTCAATCACTTCTATGGGATGCAGAAATACCATCATGAAAAGCTCGTCCAAATGCTCAAAGACACATATGGAAACAAAATGTGTCCTGCTATATTTGCTCATGAAGTCAGCCTCCAGTACCTGTGGGAAAAGGAACACCAAGTGCTGGTGTTCTACCACAGCCCAGTGGCTCTCGAGGTACCATTTCTTTGGCCAGGCCAGATGATGCCAGCTCCTTGGGCAAACACCACAGACCCAGAAAAACTGATTCAGTTCCTCCAGGCGTCAATCACTGAGAGAAGAAAGAAGGGCTCCTTTTTTATATCTCAAGTAGTGCTGACACCAAAGGCTAGTACGGTGGTGAAAGGGGTTGCTAGTGGTCTCAGAGAAACGATCACAGAAAGGTAAGTTTCTGGAATGTGACATGTACTGACTCTGCTGAGTGAGTGCTCTGGTAATGGTGCTTTTAAAAACATTTTTAAAGAAACTCCAGCAGATAGCTTTCATCTATTCTGCTATAGCTGATTCAGAATTTGGGCATAATCCTAAAATATTTAAAATGAAACATATTAAAAGATAAGCTTTTGTATCTTGAAAGACAATCTGGCACTACTCATGAGATCTTACAGGATTAGTTTAACATTTTTGGGTTTTTTTCTGAGTGGAGGTTTTTTCATTTGTTTTGTTTTTCAAATGTGGTTTCTTACCATAAGCACTGAACATCTTGTCTTGGATTTCCTTACTAGGTGTGAACAAATCTACTTAAATTATCTAGATAATTTAAGTTATTATTTATGCATCAGGTCAATATTTTGTTTCATTTTGGCCCATCATGAAAGGCTGACACTGCACAATTTGCTTCCTTAAATACCTTTACTCATCTTAAGCATGTGTCGCTTTTCTCTGCATACCATCACATAATATCAAAGCTACCAGGACACCATTAGAGTGAATTTGCCTCCTAACAGTCTGTCATATATCATACAGCAAAGAGACTGCAGACCATTGTAGAGGTTATGTGCAAGGAATACTGTGTTGATAGGTCATTAATTGTTAAATTAGAAAAACAGAGCTGTCTGTGCAAGACATGCATTTGATAAATCACAGCTAGCTTAAAGGCAGGTATGTGTGACTGTTATTGACAACTTGGTAGGAAACATGAAATTTCATGCAAAGACAGAAAATCTATTTTTTCCAGAAAAAAAAAAAAAAAAAAAAAAGGTTCAAAAGCAAAAAATGAATTTGCCTCCTAACAGTCTGTCATATATCATACAGCAAAGAGACTGCAGACCATTGTAGAGGTTATGTGCAAGGAATACTGTGTTGATAGGTCATTAATTGTTAAATTAGAAAAACAGAGCTGTCTGTGCAAGACATGCATTTGATAAATCACAGCTAGCTTAAAGGCAGGTATGTGTGACTGTTATTGACAACTTGGTAGGAAACATGAAATTTCATGCAAAGACAGAAGATCTATTTTTTCCAGAAAAAAAAAAAAAAAAAAAAAAGGTTGCAGAGCATAAAGAATTTATAACAGGGACTAGTGGTCTGGAAGTGTTCTGCTCTCAGCATGGACATGCCTGTGCCATGAAGGTCTGTTCAGGACACTGTCCCCTATTATGAGAAGAACAATGCAGTCAGTGCCTGTGACTCTCCAAAGCAGCAGGCCTCATTTTTGAGAAAGGCTGAGATGTTTTTATGGCAGCTTTCCAAAGCAACTGTTAACTTAAAAAAACCAAACCAACCAACCAAAAAAACAAAAAAACCACAACAAAAAAACCACACCACGGAAAAACAATCTGAAATGGTAAAACACCGACACAGAAAGTTTTACAAGCAGTGGATTATGATTCAGAATTGCTCGTGCAACTGCATCTTTATCTGTGTATCCTCCACGTATGTTTTTACAGGCTCCATTGGACTGGGGATCTCCCTTCCTGTTGAGTCTGAGGAGTGCTTTTCTGCTGAAATACTACTTTGTTGTTGGATTTACTGTTGAACACTATCCTTGTTGTTCAGGGATTTGTTTTCTCTGGTAAACATCTTTCTGAGTGTTCTTTAGAATATGAAATAGCACAATCAAGAAACTGTAAGGTTCCTAAACTTGCTGCATCAATAAAATGGTCACTAAAAAAACTTTTCTTCTTCTCTGGCTTTAATGTGCTTCTTTGAAGCTGTCTAGAAAACAAAAAAATTAAGTGGCTTCTGGATATATTTGGCCCTGAGCTCCGAATGACCTGAACCTCTGAACTTGTAGTTTGCTTTTCACTACAAGAAATGTTTAGATTATAACTAACTTAAAATGTCAGTAAATAATTGTGCCAGAATACCTGGAAATGTTGTTTTTCCAAATCACAGCTGAGATTGTCACATAAGCCACAAGGTGCAAAAAAAAATCTGCTGAATGAATACTTTTTTCCTTTGCATAACTCTCTTAACCACTGCAAAAGAAATGGACCTTTAAAATTATCTCCAAAGGTGGTATTTAGTCTTCCAAGTGTGTCATCTCATTTTTAATTCCTACTACTTATTACAAAATACACTGCCAGGAAGACACAGGCTTGGAATTTGTGTTAATCTACACAGAAACTGAGCTCATATATTGACTTAACTTCTCTGCAAGTAAACATCTAGTATACTCGGAAGTGCTTCTCATTTGATGATGATTGTGTTCAAACAAACAAACAAACAAAAAAGACAATTAAAAGATGCAGCACGATTAGTAGAATTTACAAACTTATTTTCAATCTTGCTGCATTAATGTTTCAGTAATTTGTATGTATGGAATCCATACTAAAGGAGCTATGTATATGTTCCATCTGTACTGTTTGCTACTTTGAACCATCTCATAATTATTTGTAAAAAGATTATTCTTTCCTTTTCAGAATAAATACACAGCTCAAGTTCCATTCATATGTCCTGGTAGGTAACACAGGTGCTTTTGTTGCTGGTTGCTGCATAGATTTATAAATTTTATACTATTTTTTTGCTTATTAATACATGCTGGTGAAGAGTTTTGCATTAAGAATACATTATCGTGCTTTTGACAGCAGTTTTGTAGCCATACTTGGGTGGAGTTTTTCCCTCACACTGAATGTCGAAAAGAACTGAATGTAAACGTTGAATACGGTTGAATTTTTCAATTAATACTGGTGTTGGTTTTTTCCCCCTTAATTAAATATTACGTTTAAGAAAAGGCCCTTTGGCATTTTCAAATCAAAGCCTTAGTAATTTCTCTTTTCCCCTATTTCTACAATGGCCATTTTAATTTATATATTGACTTAGTTCTGAAAATCCAGCAAGTTTAGTTCCTTTCAGAGACAATAAAAGATACCAGGTTTTGATCTCTGGAGCTGGTGGTTTGCTTTCAAGATTATTTACCATTTGAAGAGCAATGGCCACTTGAGGAGGAGAATGTGGTTTATCTTGGTTGCAGCATCTATCAGACCAGGAAAACTGCAAGCAGACACTGTGCAGCAATCTGTGCTCCTTTCTGCTGCTTTGCAGGTCATGGTGTGAAAAAGCACAGTAAAAACACCTCTGCATCCAACAGTAAATGGTTGGTTTAATAGCTCTTCATAGGAGCTGGTTGTGGCAGTGGAAGTCCACATGTTCAAACTGAAGTAAAGCAGTTTCCTAAGGCAGTGCATTTCAGAGGAAGTGATGTTATTCCTCATTCTGTTCCCCACAGTGCAGAAACACAAGATGGAAGCCCCTTGGTAACCTTCATTTCAAACACACAAACATTTTCACGTTCCTAAGACTGTACTCAGTAGAAGACATAGCAGGACTGTTTTTTACTGATAATGATTGCTTGCAGGCTTTGCTGCTGTCATCACACATAATACTCTGTGGGACAATAATTTGAAATAAGGAAAAATTATAAAGTCATAAAGCTTTCTGTGTTGCACCCCATACAAGAGGGAAAAGCCATTTCTTCTCAGTTCTTCCTAGGACCACAGCTCACTGTTGCAAAACTTCGCAACATGGCTTGCATCTTAATTACTTGAATAACTCTCATGCATGCATGTTATGTTTTTTTGGATTTGATTAAGAACTTTGAGGACTAACAATGTGTTTTCAGGCTTAACATTCTGTCACACACAATCTAGATGCCAAGAAATACTCTTTGATTAGCAAACAGAACGTACCAAATGAATTGCATTCCCTCTGCGTATTGTATTAAATTCACAGTGAGGCAGCTGCCTTCAGTATGTCTGAGAGGCAGCTGTGAAACAACCTTTTGAGTGTAGAGCTGTTCTTCGTAATAATCTAGTTTGTTTTCTGATTTGCAGTGACATTACTAATTTTATCTCTGACACTGGAGACAGGCATGATGTTCTGTTTTTGGTCTCTGAGGTTGAATAACAGAAGACGAATAGATATCTCCTTCAGGGGGTGCAAAAATCCTGTGGTATTTTTAATGAAAAATAGAAAATAAACACACACGCAGCTGGTTGTCACTTGATTTCCAAATTAATCTCTTAAGGATAATGTTCCCTGTCACTCACGTTCCTAAATCCTTACTGACCATGATAAAGCTTCCCTCTTAGCAACTAAAGCAAATTAAAACAAAAAGTTAAAAAGCTTGCATATGAGGTTGAAACTTTGAAGTGGTGCCAAAGCAGTCACACTGTTAACAAAGTGGGGGGAAGGGGAGTAAGTAGACCAGAAAATGAACTGTGTGCAGTCGTAACTAAACAAGGACAGATTCAGTTAGCTAATAGGTGGTTGTTACATGAAAAATAATCCCTGGTGTTACCAGAAGAGGGATTTATTTTTTTTCAAGTCAGTTACTGAGGGTGTACTCTTTGTTCAAGCTGTATCTCAGCCACTGAATATTTTACATTCCTTGTTGCTGGAAGAGTGGGGTTTGATGATGACAGTGATCCATGGTTGGTACTGACTGATGCCATTCCTAAGCTATTTTATGTGAAAAACAACCAGAGAAATGGCAACTATATTTGCTTGTTGTCTGAGCATCCTTCTTGCCTGTAACCTTCATGTCTGTCTCCCTTACAGGCTGCAGGAGAGCAGCAGGCTCTGATGAGCTAGTTTGGGTGTAGGACTTGGTGAGCCCATAGCACCACAGCTGATGTGGAGCCCTTTATATGCTGAGAGGCAGGTGCAGACTTGGTTATTCATTAATTTGTATAGGACAAGGACATTTGTCCCTCACTGCATTTGACTTTGGAGGGAGCTGTCTTTTTTCCTTCTTATTTTTTTTTAAAAATAATTCCACTCCAGAAGGTACAAACTATCATCCTGGTATATTGCTAGCCAAAATTCTCAGTATTCCACTTCTTCCTCAAACTATCCTTAATTACTTCTCTAGCCTTTCCACACAAAAAGTGATGATCCTGGTGTTTGCATACAGAGCAGCTGAGGGAGACTTTGGTTTCAT